CACTGCTATACGTTTCCCTATATGCTGTTTTCCTTTCATTCCACAAATTTTGATAAATTCTGTTTTTATTTTTATTTAGTTGAAAAAATCTTTAAAAATTTCTCTGGGGCTGTCTTGTTTAATTTCTATGCATTTTGGGATATTCAGTTATTCTTCCAGTTATCCTTTGATTTCTGTTAAATCCACTGTTGTGTGAGAGCTGACATTGTATTTCCATTTCTTAAAATTGATAGGGTATGTGTGTCCCTGAATGTGGTACGTTTTGCTGAATATCCCATGTGAGCTTAAGAAGAATGTGTCATCTGCAGTAGTTGAGAGAAGTAAATTGTCGATATCAGTTATGCCCAGTTGCTTGTTGTTGCTTTTGAGTTCAGCTTTTCTGTCCTGCCTCTCGGTATCTGATGTAGGGTGTTAATGTTTCCAACTATAAAGCTGAATTGCTGAATTCATCTTTTTTCTTGTGGTTCTGTTGATTTCTGCTTAGGCTTTAAGAATTATGACATTTTGTTGGAAGAGTGACTCTTCATCTCTGTATAATGCCCGTCTTTAATCCTGATAGCTTTCCTTGCTTTGAAGTCTGCTCTGCCTGTAATTAATATAGCTCCTCTTGTTTACTTTGATTAGAGTTAACATCGTATATTTTATTTACTTTTGTCTCTAAGCTGGGTTTCTTACAGGTAACATATCTTGTGTTGTGTCTTTTTTTTATTCACTTTGTCAAGTTGTGTCTTTAATTAGTGCAGTTAGACCATGGACATTCAAAGTAATAATTGATATAATTGGATTAATATTTACCATATTTTTGACTGTTTTCTACTTGTTGCCCTTGTTATTTCTTCCTACTTCATCTTCCATTCATTATCTGCCTTTTGTGGTTTTCACTAGCATTTTATGTTATTCCATTTTTCATTTGATTTTAACTTTATTGGTTTAATATTTTATATCCTTATTATGAGAAAATTTCTTGGAAATAATAGGAAAAATTATTAGATTATGTGTATATATATATTATTTTTATTTATATGTATATATGTACAGACATATGCACATTTTCATGTATGTTTGTGTATGTGTGTGTGTGCGTGTGTGTGTGTGTGTGTGTGTGTGTGTGTGTGTGTGTGTATGAAATAGATGCCAGCAATAAGATAAAGGAAAGGAGAATAGAATTAAGATTATGTTGTTGTTATAAGATTTTCATAATACCTGTGAAGCAATATAGTTGTATTTGAAAAGTGACTTGGGTTAATTTTAAATATAATATTTCCAACTCTAGGGCAGTCTGCTGCACAAAACAACCCTTCCTTCCTGACTACTGGCAATAGAGTGAATAAAGTGCCTTGCCAAGTGGTTTTTTCTTACATGGCAAAATGATTCATAAAATCCATCAAGGGAAAGAGATTTCTGGCAAGAATATCATAATCATATGTAATGTATTTAATGTATGAATCTAAGTGACATTTCCACATATTTGTATTGCTGTATTGTTTCAAAGCAAGTCACATTTCCTGCTTATACTCACTGGAGTGAGATTAAAATAGATAGGAGAAGGTGGGGCTAACAACTGGACACCAACTTAATGTCTGCTTGACACCTCAGATATTCTCCTGTATGAATCAGGTATTCTCTTGGTCTCACTTGTTTTTTGTAACCTTAACCCCTTTGAAAAGTACTGGCCAGATATTTTATATAATTTCCCACAATATGATTTTGTTTGATGGTTTCTCATGCTTATGCTAGGCATATGGATGAATTAAACACAGTCACCTAAATTTGAAGACAAAAAAAAAGACCTAAAAAGTAATATTTATAAATAAAAACTGAAGAAGAAAAATAATTTTTAAAAATATGGAATGGCAAAGAAGTCACAGTATAGTTAAGTTTAGCGGTTAAGGGTAACTATGAAGTTAAGGAGATGCACAAAGGAGGTATCAACAATTTTGCTAATCATCAGTTTTCTTAAGCTTGCAAAAATACATTTTTAGGCTGGGCATGGTGGCTCATGCCTGTAATTCCAGCACTTTGGGAAGCTGAGGTGGGCAGATCACTTGAGGTTAGGAGTTCGAGACCAGCTTGGCCAATATGGTGAAACCCCATCTCTACTAAACATACAAATAATAGCTGGCCATAGTGGTACATTCCTGTAGTCCCAGATGCTCGGGAGGCTGAGGCAGAGAGTAACTTGAAAAGAGGGAGAAGTTGCAGTGAGCCAAGATCATGCCGCTACCCCCCAGCCTGGGTGACAGAGTGAGACCCTGTCTTAAAAAACAAACACTTTTTTTTAAAGAATAGTTTTACATTTGCAGAATAATTACAAATATAGTAAAGAGTTTCCATATACTCCACTCACAGCGTCCCTTATTATTTACCTTGTGCATTAATGTAGGACATTTGTCAAAATTAACCAACAAATATCATGTATTATCATTAAGTACTATATATGCTTTCTTCAGATTTCTTAGTTTTCACTTAATGTTGTTTATGTTTTAGAATTTCATCCAGGGCACATTATCACATTTAGATATCATGTCTTTACGTTTCTCAGAGTTTCCTTGTTTTTGATATCATTGACATTTCTAATTTGGGATTTCTCTGGTGTTTCTCTCATGATGAGACTGAATTTGTGGGTTTAGGGGAGGAAAATCACAGATGAAAAGTGCCATTCTCATCCCATAATATCCAGGGCACAGTCTATCAACAGACTTTATCAGTGTCAATATTAATTTAATCACCTGGATGAAGTAGTTTCTAACAAATTTCTTCTTTAATTTTAAATATAATTTTTTCCCTTTTTTCATGTTGTATGTCTAGGAAAAAAAGTCATCATATACAACACACACTTAAAAAGTAGTTAATCATGCTGCACTGCTTTTTTTGAGTAGATTATTAAAAATTTCAATAGCTTTATAGTTTCAAGTGGTTTTTGGTTACATGGATGATTGGCATAGTGGTGAAGTTTGGGATTTTAGTGTACCCATCACATGAATAATCTAAATGTTACCTCATAGGTAATTTTTCATCCCTCACCCCCTTTGAGTCTTCCTCCTTTCTGAATGTTTAATGTTCTTGATTGTACTTTGTTATGTCCCTGCGTAGCCATTGCTTACCTCCCACTTATAAGTGAGAACATGCAGTATTTGGTTTTCTGTTCCTGAGTTACTTCACTTATGATTATGACCTCCAGTTTCATCAAAATTGCTACAAAAGACTTAATGTTGTTCTTTTCTATGAGTGAGTAGTATTTTGTGGTATAAATACCACATTTTCTTTATCCACTGAGTAGTTGATGGGCACTCCAACTGATTTCATAATTTTTCATATTTTTGCAATTGTAAACCTAGAAGTACAGATGTATTTTTGATTGAATGACTTCATTTCGGTCGATACCCAGTAGTGGAATTTCTGGATTGAATGTTTGACCTGCTTTTAGTTCATTGAAAAATCTCCACACTGTTTTCCATACAGCTTGAACTAATTTACATTCCCCACCTAAAGGTGTGTAAGCATTCCCTTTTTACCTTATCCACACCAGTATCTTATCATTTATTGACTTTTTAATAATGGCCATTCTGAATAGGTAGGGTGATATCTCATTGTGGTTTTCATTTGCATCCGAGATACTTATTCATGTAGAACTGTTTTCCTGTGTTTTCTGGCCATCTGTATATATTTTGAAAACTATCTGTTCATGTCATTTTTTCACTTTTTAATGGGATTATTCATTTTTTTCTTGCTGATTTGTGTTTCTTGTAGATTCTTGATTAGTCCTTTGTTGGATGTATAGTTTTAAAATATTTTCTCCCATTCTGTAGGTTGTCTTTTTACTCTGTTATTTCTTTTGCTATGAAGAAGCCTTTCAGTTTATTTAAGTCCCATTTGTTTATTTTCTTACGTTGCAATTACTTTTGGAGTTTTAGTCAAACACATTCTTTGCCCAGGCCAATGTCCAGACAATTTTTTTTTTCTAGTTTTTGTTCTAGGATTTTCTGCTTTCATGTCTCACATCTGAGTCTTTAATCCATCTTGAGTTGATTTTTGGATATGGTGGGACATAAGGATCCAATTTCATTCTTTCGCATGTAGCTATCTTATTTTCCCAGCACCTTTTATTGAATAGGGTGTTTGCTTATTTGCATTATAAAGTTATTTAGGATTTGTAAAATATAATCATGTATTTATCATTACAGTATGATACTATGGTAATTTCACTTCCCAGAGGAAATCTGCTCTGCCTCACCAATTTGACCTGCTTCTCTTCCAAGCCCCTGGTAAATGCCAAACACTTTATTGTCTCTATGCTTTTTCACTTTCCAGATCCAGCGCTGGGTGGAGTTAAGGCGCTTCCCCATGGCCTGAATTGCCTGGCTCCCCAGTGGGAGTGTGTTTCAGGAGATAGTTTCCCGCTTTTGCATTCTGAAGACTCAGTTTCGCATCTGACACACAGTGCAAGTTGCTGCCTGCTGCTCCTTTCTAATTATCCCAAGTTTCTTTCTGTTTTTCTGTTGAGTTTCTATGTTTGTTGGATACAAATTTATAGTGTAAATCTACACACGATTTTTCTGTTTCCAAGCAGGGAGGTGCACTTACAAAGCCTCCAATCTTCCATCTTGAAACAAAAACCAAAAAAAAAAAAAAAAAAAACATTATGGATAGAATTTCTACAAAAGTTTTTTGGAACTTTCACCATGAACATGTGTCTGTTCTCCTTTGATAATTACTATATTTATTCAGTCATTTTATGTCAGAACCAAACATGGATATTTATTTTACTCCTTACTTCTATTACTTCATTTATTTGATTGTTTAAATTGTTGCAGTGTTGGCTGTTGAATCCTCTGTCAAGTTTGACATACCACCATCATTAAGCTTTGATGTTGCTATGTGGTTGTTTAGTTGTTTATGTCATTGTTTGGCATTTTATTTTTTTCTGGCATTACCAGGGCTCAGGCTAATTGTACTGATTCCCTCACAAACCTAGTATTAACTTTTTTTTTTTTCCACAGAGCACTAGTTCTTTTTATTGGAAAATTGAATTACAAATGGAGACATGGGCCTGGATCACTCCTGTAGCATCTGTATTCATGATCTTGACTGCTGACAGAGCAAATAAATCTGTGTATACTGATTCATATATATACGTATGTATATATGTATATGCACACACATGTATGTTTATATATATGCACACACATACACACATATGTATAAATATTTTACCATGTTTCTGTATGTATCTTTAGTAAGTGAAACATGAATCCCTTATAATGCTCCAGCACTACATGATGTAATCTGGTACCACATGAATCAGTGCATCTATTCTCGCTTACTTGTATGTAGCCTAACACTCTAACAGTGATAAAATGGTTCTATTATTTAATCACATAATCCAAAAGACATGTATAGTGGTTTAAGAATTGGAAATGTATACTCCCTTGAGAAAACAACTTGACCAAGTAAAGTACTTAAGGATAAATCTTTACTCTAGACTCAGAAAATCCATTTATGCTAAGTTGATGGGACCAGCTGGTTTCCCCCCCACCTTCCTTCAGTAAGATTATTTCACTGATATGTTACACAGTTGTATTACGTGCATAGTCCCATGCTATCTCCTACCTACTGTATAAGGTTTTTAATTTGCTTATTTGTATTTGCTTATTTAGGATTTGTACAATATAATCATGTATTTATCATTACAGTATGATACTACGATAATTTCATTTCCCAGAGGAAATCTGCTGTGCCTCACCAATTTGACCTGCCTCTCTTCCAAGCCCCTGGTAAATGCCAAAAATTTTATTGTCTCTATGCTTTTTCACTTTCCAGAGTGTCACAAAACTAGAATTACACACAGTATTTCGCATTTTTGCATTTTGCTTTTTTTTTCTTTTTTGCAATATGTCCTTTAAATTTGTAAAGTGTATCTGTTTAGATTTGCATTTTCCTAATGCAAAAGACTTAGGCCTCACATCGTGTGGTAATTAGACATGACAGTAGTATCTTTAGAGAAATATGTATTCAAATAATTTACCAATTTGATTGTGATATTTGTCTTACTATTTTTTAGCTGTAAAATACTTTTATATTTTGTGGATAATAGACCCTTTTCTGCTGTGACTGCAAAGGTTTTCTTCTATACTTTGTGTTGTCTTTTTACTTTTAGTGAAGTACTCTGAATTCCAAGGATTTTAATTCTATGAAGTTAAATATATTCATATTTTTTTGTTTGTTTGTTTTGAGACGGTCTCACTTTGTCACCCAGGATGGAGTGCAGTGGTGTGATTTTGGCTCTCTGCAATCTTTGCCTCCTGGATTCAAGTGATTCTTCTGCCTCAGCCTAATGAGTTGCTGGGATTACAGGCACCCACCACCACACTTGGCTAATTTTTGTATTTTTAGTAGAGATGGGATTTCACCATGTTGGCCAGGCTGGTCTCAAACTTGTGACCTCAGGCGATCTACCTGCTTTGGCTTCCCAATGTTCTGGGATTACAGGCGTGAGCCACCATGTCCAGCCCATGTTTATTACTTAACTATTCTTGGACTTTAGCTGTCATGTCTTAGAAATATAGAAATTATTGTTTAACTTAAGATAACAAATATGTATTCACATATTATCGTCTGTGGGTTTGTTCTATTTAGCTCCTATATTTGGATATATGACCATTTTGATCCCAGTATGTATATGGTATGTGAGAGAAGTTCAGCTTGATTGTAGATACTCAGTTGTCCTAGCAACATTTGATGGAAACCTGTTTTCCATATTGAATTGAGTTAGCAATCTTGTAATATCATTTGACCACAAAAGAAAAGGTTAATTTATGAAATTCAGTTCTATTTTTTTTTGTTGGTAAGTCTATGTTTATACTAGTGACACAAATCTTGATTATGATTTCTTTGTAGTAACTTTTGAAATTGGAACACATGAATCTAGGTTCTTGAGGAATCGCCACACTGTCTTCCACATGGTTGAACTAATTTACACTCCCACCAGCAGTGTAAAAGCATTCCTATTTCTCCACATCCTCTCCACCATCTGTTGTCTCCAGATTTTTAAATGATCGCCATTCTATCTGGCGTGAGATGATATCTCAATGTGGTTTTGATTTTCATTTCTCTAATGACCAGTGCTGATGAGAATTTTTTCATGTGTTTGTTGGCCTCATAGATGTCTTCTTTAGAAAAGTGCCTGTTCATGTCCTTCACCCCTTTATTTCTTTTTGTTGCCTAATTGCTCTGGCTAGAAGTTCTAATACTGTATTGAATAGGAATGGTGAGAGAGGGCATCCTTATCTAGTGCCAGTTTTCAAAGGGAATGCTTCCAGTTTTTGCCCATTCAGTATGATATTGGCTGTGGGTTTGTCATAAATAGCTTGTATTATTTTGAGATACGTTCCATTGATACCTAGTTTATTGAGGGTTTTTAGTATGAAGAGCTGTTGAATTTTGTCGAAGGTCTTCTCTGCATCTATTGAGATAATCATGTGGTTTTTGTCTTTGGTTCTGTTTATGTGGTGGATTACATTCATAGATTTGTGTGTGTTGAACCAGCCTTGCACCCCCTGGGATGAAGTCTACTTGATCATTACGGATAAGCTTTTTGATGTGCTGTTAGATTCAGTTTGCCAGTATTTTATTGAAGATTTTTGCATCAATGTTCATCATGGATATTGGCCTGAAATTTTCTTTTTTGGTTGTGTCTCTGCTGGGTTTTGGTATCAGGATGATGTTGGTCTTCTAGAAAGAGTTAGGGAGAATTCTCTCTTTTCGTATTGTTTGGAGTAGTTTCAGAAGGAATGGTACGTGCTCCTCTTAGTGTGTCTGGTAGAATTCGGCTGTAATCCAGTCTGGACCTGGTCATTTTTTGGTTGGTAGGCTATTAATTGCTGCCTCAACTTCAGACCTTGTTATTGGTCTATTCAGGGATTCAACTTCTTCCTGGCTTAGTCTTGGGAGTGTGTAAGTGTCCACAAATTTTCCATTTCTTCCAGATTTACTGGTTTATGTGCATAGACTTGTTTGTAGTAATCTCTGATGGTAGTTTGTATTTCTGTGGAATCAGTGGTGACATCTCCTTAATCATTTTTTCTTGCATCTATTTGATTCTTCTTTCTTTGTAATTAGTCTGGCTAGTAGTCTGTATATTTTGTTAACCTTTTGGAAAAACAAGCTCCTGGATTTATTGATTTTTGAAGGTTTTTTGTGTCTCTATGTCCTTCAGTTCTGTCCTTATCTTAGTTATTTCTTGTCTTCTGCTATCTTTTGGATTTTTTTGTTTGTTTGTTTTGCTCCTCTAGCTCTTTCTTTTTTTTCTTTTTTTTTTTTTCTTTTTTTTTTTTGAGACGGAGTTTTGCTCTTGTTACCCAGGCTGGAGTGCAATGGCGCGATCTCGGCTCACCACAACCTCCGCCTCCTGGGTTCAGGCAATTCTCCTGCCTCAGCCTCCTGAGTAGCTGGGATTACAGGCACGCGCCACCATGCCCAGCTAATTTTTTGTATTTTTTAGTAGAGATGGGGTTTCACCATGTTGACCAGGATGGTCTCGATCTCTTGACCTTGTGATCCACCTGCCTCGGCCTCCCAAAGTGCTGGGATTACAGGCGTGAGCCACCACGCCTGGCCTCCTCTAGCTCTTTCAATTTTGCCGATAGGGTGTCAATTTTAGATCTTTCCTCACTTCACATATGGGTGTTTATTGCGATAAATTTTCCTCTAGACACTGCTTTAAATGTGTCCCAGAGATTCTGGTACGTTGTTTCTTCAATCATAATTTTTGTGGAACTTCTTTGCTTCTCCTTCATCTCATTGTTTATCCAGTCGTCATTCAGGAGCAAGTTGTGCAGTTTCCGTTAGTTGTGTGGTTTTGAGTGAGTTTCTTAATCCTGAGTTCTAATTTGATTGCACTGTGGTCTGAGAGATTGTTTTGATTTCCGTTCTTTTGCATTTGCTGAGGAATGATTTACTTCCAATTATGTGTTCAATTTTAGACTAAGTGCAATGTGGTGCTGAGAAGAATGTATATTCTGTGGATTTGTGGTGGAGAGTTCTGTAGATGTCTTTTAGATCCACTTGATCCGGATTTGCATTCAAGTCCTGGATATCCTTGTTGATTTTCTGTCTTGTTGATCTGTCTAATACTGACAGTGGAGTGTTAAAGTCTCCCACTATTATTGTGTGGTAGTCTAAGTCTCTTTGTAGTTTCTTAAGAACTTGCTTTATGTATCTAGGTGTTCCTGTATTGGGTGCATATATATTTAGGATAGTTAGCTCTTCTTGTTGCATTGATCTTTTTACCATTAGGTAATGCCCTTCTTTGTCTCTTTTGATCTTTGTTGGTTTAAAGTCTGTTTTATCAGAGACTAGGATTGCAACCCTGCTTTTTTTTTCTCTCCATTTGCTTGGTAAATCTTCCATCCGTTTGCTTTGAGTCTGTGTGTGTCTTTGCATGTGAGATGGGTCTCCTGAATATAGCACACCAATGTGTCTTGACTTTTTATCCAATTTGCCAGTCTGTGTCCTTTGATTGGGGCATTTAGGTTGTTCTACATTTAATGTTAATGTTGTTATGTGTGAATTTGATGCTGCCATTTTATTACAGGCTGGTTGTTTTGCCCATTAGTTGATGCAGTTTCTTCATTGCATTGTTGAACCAAAATAATATTACCTGTGATGGGAGTCGCAAGAGGAATGCAACAAAAGGCTTTTCTACAGCCTTTGGAATGCAAATTAGGAAATCTGGAACTAAGGCACAGGTTTCTCCTTAAGCCAAAATGCCCAATCTCTTTGCTGGGAGAAGACCTGTTATACAAATTAAATGCTGATGTAACTTTCTCCTGAGAGAAACAACTATGTCTATAGGTCCTTCTAGAGTAAGCAATGCAACTACTGATGTTACTCACTTCACCTAAGAAGAAAGAGGAAGCTCCCTTTTTCCCAGAAGTCTGTGAGAGAATGAGTAATTGTGAATGGGCAGGTGGGATCCCAGGAAAGGCAAAGAATACACAGTTGATGCATATAGAAATAAAAGAAGGAGCTACCGTGCCTGGGGAAAGAAAACCAAACAAATTTTAAAAACCTGAAAACAACTAGTACCCATTAATAAAGGAAGGTTTTGACAGAATACAGCATGTCTTGCAAAAATTTCTGAAAAGTGCACTGATCCATCCTTGAAGATACCCATGCAATACCCCTATCCTGCTTGTAAAGAAGCCATGCTTCAACAAATATCAATTTGTTCAAAACCTGAGAGCCATCAATAAAGTAGTCCAGGATATTCATCCAATGGTGCCTAATCCATGTTCTGTACTGACTACTATGCATGGAAATTACACCAGTATCCCTAGCTGTGCATTGAAAGAAGCTAAATATTGAGAACCCATAGTATATTGCTGTTGTCTCCAATATCCTTGTCAATCTTAAGTGAGTCCCACTATCACCATTCCCCACTATATGTATTCCATATCTTGAACAACGGGCAGTGGTGGGGAATGCCCTAGTTGCGTTCTTCACTGCTGTAGAGGACCCTGTGGACATAGGCCTCCTCCTCTAGAGCACCCCTACCAAGAGCTGGGCCACAAGGGGAGCCTGTGAATTCAGAGCCTCATCATGAATTCTACATGCCCAAGGAAAGCAGCTCCCTGCTTTTTTGGTGGGGCTGGAAATTCCCTTCTTATATATAAAAATATGTTTGTGGCTCAAGCCTGTAATCCCAGCACTTTGGGAGACCGAGGCGGGTGGATCACGAGGTCAAGAGATTGAGACCACCCTGGTCAACATGGTGAAACCCCGTCTCTACTAAAAATACAAAAAAAAAAATTAGCTGGGCATGGTGGTGCGTGCCTGTAATTCCAGCTACTCAGGAGGCTGAGGCAGGAGAATTGCCTGAACCCAGGAGGCAGAGGTTGTGGTGAGCCGAGATCGCGCCATTGCACTCTAGCCTGGGTAACATGAGTGAAACTCCGTCTCAAAAAAAAAAAAAAAAAAAAATGTTTGTTCGACCATTATTATACTTGGTGACCAAAGACATATCACCAGGTCATTTTCTTGTAATATTTCTTACTGGTTTCTGGTTTTGGTGTGTAAATATCCTTAGCACTAGGTTAAATTTCTTGGTTTTGATTACATAAGCATAGTGTATAATCTATTTTTTGAATTGTGTATTAAGATTTTTGTTTTTTGTTACAAAATGAATTTATAATATCAAATAGACATTTTAATTATTTAAATCTTTTTACAGGTCACTTTTTCCTAAATCAAATGGGAATTTGACTTTTATTAGAAAAGACAGATGTCGCTGGGCACGGTGGCTCACGCCTGTAATCCCAGCACTTTGGGAGACCGAGGCAGGTGGATCACGAGGTCAAGAGATCGAGACCATCCTGGTCAACATGGTGAAACCCCATCTCTAATAATACAAAAAATTAGCTGGGCATGGTGGCGCGTGCCTGTAATCCCAGCTACTCAGGAGGCTGAGGCAGGAGAATTGCCTGAACCCAGCAGGCGGAGGTTGTGGTGAGCCGAGACCGCGCCATTGCGCTACAGCCTGGGTAACAAGAGTGAAACTCCGTCTCAAAAAAAAAAAAAAAAAAAAGAAGAAAAGACAGATGTCACATATTCTCTGTTTTATCATTTTCTAGAATGTTCCCTGAAATGCCACTAGTTCAATAGGACAAGAAGTACAAAGATTCTTCTGGGAGCTACAAGGTAAAATTTGCTGAGTGTCATTCTTAGAAAGAGATGTGAAAGTTTGTATTTTATGGCTAAGTTTGCACTATTCACAAAAAGTTCACAAAACATCATTAATTTCTATATGCAAAACACTAACACTTACTCTGAATGTAGAGCCAGCCACTTTGTTATGTTCCCATGTGAACTTCATCACGTTGTTTGATTTTCCCTTTACCCAGTAGCTGCAGACATTGGCTGTAAACCATTATTCTGTCCACCTCAATCCATAAATGTCTACATGACATTTCTTTGTATAGATTATCCATACTATAGATAAGTATGCTCTTTATATTCTTCGAGGAGTAATCATTCAAAATTGTTTTTAGTTCTTAGTGATAAATTTTTAAAAGTCCAATTTAAAACTTTTGCTTTAGTCAGCACATATATCTTTAACAATTTCTTGGAGAGAATGTTAAAATCTTTTATCCTTTTCTCACCCAGCTTAATGTTTTAAAGACTTTTAGCAAGTCTTCTAGATTTTCATTTTTGTTGACATAGTAATTTACCCACCTTCCTATTAAATAATTACAGATCAACTGATGTGTATTATTTTATACTGAACCTTTGGCACCTCTGACATAATTTATATATAAATAGTAATCCAAATGTCTTGGCCAGTGAAGATGGTATTCATCAGCCAAGGTTGAATAGGAATTTTCTCACCTGAAAGCAGCAAGTGACACAAAAGCAAGAGAAAAATAGAAAAAATTTAGAAGTCCCACAAGCGGACAAGGATTTATTTAGGGTTTGAGATGGTACAGGGACCCCTCATATGAGCCTGTGGACCACCACAACCATGGAAATAAAGGAAAATCTTGAATCCTTTCACAGAAATTTCAGGTACCTTTCTAGCTATGAGAAGTAAATGAGCCACTTGATAGCAGGAAGGTAATAATAGGTTAAAAGAATAGCAAGGAATTGAGTCATGAAAACATGGGGTTCCTTATAGAAACTAAAAATCAAAGCTTAACATATGACCCTGAGTTGTTTCTCAGAAACCAGGATTTCTACCAAATGGATGCACTAGCATATAGACCTCAGGTAAGGAGGAACTATGGAATGGACTCTGACCACCATTTTTTGTTCTGTGTTTCTTCCTGAGGGGTCTGTAGGAGGTTACATCTGCAAGCCAGATTGAACATTATTTTCTACTGATCACAAATTTTCAGACAGTTTCACTTCCTTAATCACAAATCAGAAAATCTTTGAATCCTTCCATGTCTTGTAAGTCCCCACTACAAGTTATGCCATTCTCTTAGGCCAAAACCAATATGTCACCTCAATATATTCACTTACTGATTTACAAATTTGTGTGTACTCTCTGCCTTTCAGTCTTAAAAACCCTTAGTGTAAGCCATCTGGTAGTTTTGGTCTTAATCATAAGCTGCCTGACCCTTTTTACTTGGTGCCCTTTAATAAATGCCTTTTACTAATTGATTTATTTAAATTCATTTATCTATTGATTGATTGATTGAAACTTCATTATGGATATCTGGTCTTACTACACCTGAAAAAGGTACACAAGGTTGTTTTGACAACAGGCCTGCAATGTGCCAAATGAAAGTCTTGAAAGAAACATGTTATATTATGAATTAAGCATTCCTCCAGGATGTATCTCTGAGCCTTAATATCATATATTTACACATAAGAAAGTCTAGTAACTGTTATGGAAGAATGTGGGAAATTTGTTCAGTATTTATGAAATGTGAGCAACTGAACCCAGAAAATCTGAGACAGGTCTCAGAAAATTTAAAAAGCTTATTTTGCCAAGGTTAAGGATGTGCCCATGACACAGCCTTAGGAAGTCCCGACAACTTGCGCCCAAGGTAGCTGGGGCACAGTTTGGTTTTACACATTTTAGGGAGACATGAGACATCAATCAATATATGTAAGAAGTACATTAATTCTGTCCAGAAAGGCAGGAACAATGCAAAGCACTCCCTGTCCCCAACACACTGAGGGTTTCCAGGTCACAGGTAGGTGAGAGAAAAGTGGTTATATTCTCTTGGGTTTCTAGTAAGTCTTTCCAAAGGTAGCAATCAGAATATGCATCTGTCTCTTTGAGCAGAGCAATGACTTTGAATAGAATGGGAGGCAGATTTGCCCTGAATGGTCCCCAGCTTGAAGGGATCCAAGATATTTTCTTTTCACATTTCCCCACTTTTCTTTTTTAAAATCTTTTGAAGAAAGCATTTTAGGAGAAAGTGAGTCTCTGGTCTGACATTTCATCTGATCTCTCATGGTTAGAACAGTTTATTCCTAGATGGGTATGTTCCAAAAGCTCGTATTTAGCAGGTTTTAAAGTTTCATGTTCTGTGAATAGAAAATGAGAGAGAAAGGCAGAAAAACAAAAGCAAAAGAAAAATCCTGGAAAAATCTATATAGGATCTAAAAATCATATATAAAAAATTTATATATAATATAAAATCTATATTACTCTGAAGACAATATATTAGTAGGTAGGTGTGAAAGTGGCTTATGTATTTAAATAGGTTGCTGTTATTTTCTTGTGAAATGTTAAGTTGTCTGGCTTTAGTTTGCAAGGATTTAAGAACGCACAGCTTAGTTTTCAGTGACTCCAAGTTAGGAAAAACTGAAACAAATTTAAAAAGTAGGAAATATCATTTTGAAGACTTGTAGCCAAGAAAAATCAGAATTTGCTTCTTCAAACTGGATAAAATAATGAAAATTTAAAAAGACATTAGGCAACATAGAATCTAACAACAGGTGTAATATAGTTTGAAACATATTTTTCTCTCTCTCCAGTTTCCCATTTTTACTAAAGACAAACCATGGTAGGACTGATTTGCCTTATTATACTTGGCTTAATTATTTGTATACAGTGCAGCAAGAATAATTTTTTTACATGGGCTTTTAAATTAGCTTTGATGGAACTTTTTCCGTAGGAGGAATGTCAGAAAAGACTTTTTAAAGCTGATCCCAGCCGTGGCTTTACCATCAGACACTATGAGTTGTGTTAATTTTGTCTCCTTTTGAGGTTCCAGAATAAACTTGGGGCTTCTGGACCTGTCAGAAAGTGACAGTCTTTACTTACCGCAGGTCAGATACCTGTACGTAGACTGTGTAAACAAAATATGAAGCCAGTTTTTCCAAGAGCTTTACTGGCTCCGTAAGTCAAGTCTGATTCCCTAAAGGAAAGCACACCATTCCAGTTAAAGCCTTGGTAAAATAACCAGTTTCTGCAATTATGTCCTATTACAAATGAAAGCAGGTTTGTACTTCACTTATGCAAATAACTGTATTATCATAAGTTAAAAATACAAAGTTTCCAAATTCTGGATAAATGAGGTAGACAAACAAATATGCTCCAAATTTTGTTCACAGGAGTATACTAAATTGTTCAAACTGTCAGTAGGTCAAAAGAAAAGTTTTAAGACTCTGAAAAATAAAATGGAGGATCAGCAAATATTTTAAGCAAAAAGTCAAAAAGATTAGTTCAGTCTATGCAGTTATTTCCTGTTGTGCTTGAGAGTAATGAACATTTTAGTTTTCCATGGGTCCTGAATGTTTTTCCTCTCTTCTGATATCACCAAAGTTATCAGAAAGCTGCATTTCTGATAACTTTATAGGGGTTGTTTTATAATCAGCTATAAAATTATGGGGGTGGTTTTATAATCAGCTATAATTTGATTATAAAACCACCCCTATAAAGAGGACCAAAACAAAAAACAATTGTCTGTGGATGACAAAAAGTTTTAGGGCAGCCATAGTCAAAGACACGGTTGACAAGGAAATTTGTTACCTCTGTGTCACACAAAAATTTTAACATAACAATTATGATTATTGGTGATAATATACACTAAGTTATATCAGAATTATAGGAGCTTCCCATAATTTTGGAACATATACCAATAACATATTTATACAAATATAACCTAAAGAAAACCCAACATCATTTCATATTTGACAATGTTTCCTGTATAATTTTTGTACCAAATAAGCCAAGTTACATTATTTTTTCAACTTCAGTGAACCTAATATCTTAAAGAATTAATTAGTTCAGGAAAACATGTAATTTATTATTTGATTTTGGAAAGTTTGTCAAATATCAAATGTTTTAATCACTTGATATCACAAAACAGGATTACAGGTCATTGCAAAATAAGTCATTCATGTAACTAAAGTGATTACTCAGGGATTTTTTTGAAAGGTGAAAACTTTTATTATTTGAGGGAGAAGACTTAATTTTCCAAACAATAAGCCCTAATAAAAACAGCATGAAGCCAATTAAATTTGTCTTTCAAAATTTTATAAACAATCTATAAAATTTTAATCGTGTCCATAAGCCTTTTCTAACCTTTAATAAGGAGTTGGTTAATTCTTCAAGAAAACCTCGTTAATCTGATGCAGGGGCCCATATGATTGTCTTGCATCAGTGTGCCTTTGATGTTAATGATTAATTTACAGAGAAACTGAACTTATTTTATTTTCCAAAATTGACCCTTAAAATGTATGTACCCACTCCTCCTGCTATATAGTCCCTAGGCCTTGAGGAGTTGAATAACTTTAATTTCTTTCTCTGTGTCTCAGTAATGCAGTTATTTTGATTGTCATCTTCTACAGAGCCTGAGGGTGAGGCTTTAATTGCTGTCAGTGTTTAACAATTTTTAAACCAATATTTAACAAGACTTGTCCTTTTTATCAAAGCCCTGTTGTAACTCAATGTCACAAGGACTTTAAAAACACATACAGGAAGATACGTGGATGTAATAACCTTAATTTTAAAAATATTTATCTTAGAAAATATTTTTTTCTAAGCAAACCAAAGCTTAGTAATAATATGACAACTTGATAATATTGAAGTTTTTTTAAAATCCTCTTATTGTGACTTACATTGACCATTCATGACACGTTTTAACTTTCTGGTTTTTCCTGAATATCATCCTTCTTGAACAACCAGTCATTTTATTTTAGGACTAAATTTTCCATACCAGATCTTTCTCATATAAAATTAT